CATTCAAGGTATGAATGCCAAATAAATTAGTTCTAAGTATTCTGAACAAAGTATCAAACACAGCTATCTCCTTAAAAAACAGACATTCTGAAGTTGCATCATTTTTGTTTCAAATACTGATGAACAATTTTCATACTTATACTACAGATCTGTTGCAAAGGTAAATAGACTGTTTATTATCCTTTAGGAAGGATGTGAAGTTGTCAGCTAAGATGTACTGTTTTGAACTATGTAACAATTATTTGGACTTTCCTGGGTACAAGTCTTGGCCAAATTTGTTCCTCATTTTAAGAGTTATTTCTGATATACCATAAGGAAGACAAGAGTTTAAAAGTGTCAGGAATCCTAGGGAAATTTAACTATTCTGCCTGGCTTTACCTAGGGTTTCTTTTATCTACTGATCTTAATCCAAAACTTGCCAAACCACAGACATGAAATGATGTACAAGAGAGATTAGTCTTTAAGATGCACTTCAGGATTTTCTTTTATATCACGTAGAAGAGAAATACTTGTTAACTAGAGTTTAAAGCAATATACAGAAACAGAGCTATATGCTAATATGTCAATAGAAGAAGTTGTTATATTATAAAATTGTTATATTGTCAAATACAAGTCAGATTATCAGTTGCAAAGCACAAGCAACATTAATAGCCACACAACACAGGAACTCTCCAGATCTTGTAATTTTGCTTCCTCCCTTTATTATCATCTCTTCTATAAGTATTTCTTATCCAAAATTCATTTTCTTCTGTTGAAGCCAACACTGTCAAGAAGATAGACTCTTCTGAGAAGGTGATCGTAGCAGGCAAGTAGATTTGTAACAGTTATCTGAGAAATACCACAGCACTTCAACAGTAATTTGCAGGTCCGTGAGCGTAACAGTCATCTTCTTGTCTTTTATACAGCAAGTCTAACTACTTAACAATGAAATTCCCTGCATAAAATTGCACAGAACTTTTAACGCCCGAGAGATTTGTTAGCAAAGAACAAAGGAACATCAATGGAACAGAATTAAACTCTTAGAATTGTGATTTGCATAAGCTTCCACTTGCAATATACACAACAGCTAAGTCTCCCTGAATTAACATTCCGCAAACAAAAGTTGCGGCAAATATAGTAAGGATTATCCTTCTAGCTGTTGTTTTGTAACGAGGATCATAGAAAGACCAAAATTACTAGCAAGAGATGTCACTTTCAAAAGCCTCTCCTAATCAGAATGTAAGATACTAAACTAGACCTACGTGAAAGTTTCAAGATTACTTTTTTTTTTGGTGGTGGTTTTTTGCTACAGCAACCACTCCCCAGGCAAAGAACTGCAGCAGAAACAGTGAGAGTAACTAAAATGCAACCTGTTTCAGATTACAACCTTAAACAGCACCTGTACTAGTGCCCTCATCCTTCAGAATGTAAAACAGGCCTGAAAGCAACATCTACTGATCGGATATCATCATCAGCTTTCCATGAAAAATAACTTTTGACCCAGGAGCAGCCACTTGAGATGCTCAGAGTAACATCACAAAACAAAGCCAAAGAAGTTGGAAGAGATACCCAGCTCTTCAGGGTTTGAAGAACCCTAGGAAGTAGACAAAAGTCAATTCCACCATTTTCCTGACAAAATAGCAGGCTGGCTTGGCAAGAAGTTGATACAACTCCATGGTATTTTGAAGGCAGGTGCAAGCAAAACGTGCTTTACAGCAAGAGCCACATGAATGAGGTTACCAGCACCAAGCCCAAACTGATCTTTCTTTTCACATACAACCCTGTCAGAGAGACGACCAAGCACAATATGCGCTTATACATTAGTTGGTCTTTTATGTAAGTTTAAAGAGTAGTTTAATTTCAGTGGTTTAAGATGCTTTAGGAAAAGTCCCATAGATATGTATCTGCATTTTAGACAGCTAAATGCATGAAAACCTTATGTCACGTGACCATATGTAGGTTAGATACAGAAGAATTAGCCCAATTATGATTTGTCTTTGAACATTTTATGCTGCATGTGTGGAAAAACTGAAGCACTTCATAGCCATTTTAGATCTCTGAATAAGAAATCATTTGATCATTATGCATGGTGTAAGCAACAATCCTCTTCTGAAGTTTTCTGCTTACCACTTCTCATCTATATTATTTCACCTGGCCTAAATTCAACCCAACACCTAGTTTTAAGCCTCCCCCATTACACACACCTCCTCTGTTCTCAGATTACAGCCTGACAAATACTGTAAGTGCTGGTATTGGGTGTACTTGGTGATAAATATTTTTCACTGTCACATGCATAATGTCACTTTATTTTGATTGAATTTCATTTTAGGTAACGAACAACTATGACAACGAACATTAAGCTCGTTGTGCATCATTCCCTGCAAAGTTAAAATAAGAAGCCACCCAAATATACAAATAACTGCCTTTTTTTGTTTTCTTACAGTAACTATGATAATTAGAGATGGGTACAGTGCAACTCCACTGAATTCTAAAACCTTTAAGTTGAAAATAACTGAGTTTTTCATAATCAAATCACTCTCAGCCAACAGAATCTTACCTACAGCTATCTAAAAGACAGAAAAAACTCAGTATCCAATCACCTGAAAGGTTGTTTCCTGCGATATACGATTATTTTTTAATAAAAGTGTATGAATCGGTTCTTCTTCTATAAAGAAAACAGACAATACACCCACACGAGCATAAGAGCCAAAGGACTCACTCAAATGATGTTTAAGCTTAGGGAAGCATCTAATAGATGACAGATTTCCTTCCCTTCCCAGTAGCAATCAGTCTTTATTGGCCTGTCTTGCCTGTTCTACAGACCTACCATATTTTCGTTGCATATGCCCATTTGAGAAGTAAGAATTTAGTGAGCACACGGGCAAGGTAGTTCCCTGCTCATTCCCACATTACTTAAAGAAGCTGCCTGCTCCTCCTCCTATCAAAGCAGCTAGCCACAAAACCTGCTGTTCACTTCTTCCAATGGGCCCTACTCCCCCTGTTCCCATTTGTTATGCTGCAAAGCCTGGGGCTGTGAGGAAGGAGGACAGATGAAATGTGAGTGCCACTGCCAGAACAATTCTTCAGGAAATCCACTTTCAGGAGTTCCTCTGAAAAGAGAACAAATATGAACAGGCCAAGAACTGGCTTAATTGAACCATCAAGCAACACTGAACCACCAGACCTTTGGCTGGGCAGCCTAACCTAAGCAAAAGGGCAGAGGAGAACAATTTTCCCTGTATACCAGTTCCAGCTGGGTTAACTTTTTAAGAGCAATATACTCAACACAGTGATCCCACATGCTCTATAGGAAAGTTCATACATTCAAAATGAAGTTTTCTTCCAAGACAGGAAGTTAAGAGTGGATTTATTTTCACAGTATTATTGCTATCTGCAGAGCTGAGACATTCAACTTTATCAATTAGCATGGCAGGTGAGTTTTAACTCACCCACTGAATTTGACAGTCAGAAAGTTTACCCCAGTAGGCTGACTGACCTTCTCCCCTATTAAAAATCATCAGATTTCAAGACTAGGGGGGGAAAAAAAAAAATCTATACCTGTTAGCAGAATTACGCAGCTTATCAGTACGTAAGAACATTTATGTATGTCTCTAGCAGTTATGGCCAGAAGTTAACCACAGAGTATGAGTAGTCCCAACAGTCACACTATACTCCATCTAATTTTAGCCCACCTGCATATGTTCACTGCCTTCCCAAAAAACAAGACTGAACAGCAGTTAAAAGCCACATGGACAGCAACAAAACCACTGCAAATGCTTAAGTCCTTGCTGCTACTGTTCTTCCTAAACACTAAATCCCTTACTCCCCCTGCCAAAGAGTGTAAAATAGAATTAAGAACTATTCTGCTACCCTAATGTAATTAATAATGCTGGGGGGGGGAAGCCCACACTGCTATTTCTGCCCTGTAACATCTAGCAGATCCCAATCTAACAGTGGGATCACTCCTTACAAGGCACCGTATACATGCCCACACATGAGTATATAAATCCCCTACTATCTATACAAAGAAATACGTGCACATGTATACACCCCACACGCCTTCCTCAATCGTCTCAAGAAAAATGCAAGTGCCCAAGGACCTTCTAATGCTCTCACGTGCCAAAACTAGCTTTTTACATATTTTTTCATTGCTCATGATGAGAAATTAAGACAGCAATGACATGATTTTTCTTTCTGATGTTAGAATCTCCACTGTCCATTTCAGAGCAGCCAAGAATTTAATTAGCATGAATCACCACCCTTAGGTGGTATGTTTCCATTTTCATATGCTTTGTGAATAGAAAATGGTAGTTTCTAAATCCATTCCAAGAAGTTATTTTCACACATTAAAGAAGCTCCCAAGTAATTCAGGATTAAAAAAGAATGCTCTGAAATTCAAACTGAAGCACAACAGCGTTTCATGTATAATCATACTCTCAACTAAATTTAGAAAAAAGTACTTACTAGAAAGCAATACACCATAGGTCCAGCATTCACTGCACAAAGTTTTTTGTAGTGTGTAATATCATCTCAACGTAGCATGGTTTTCAAGCCTCAGTACACATAAATGAAGACAACCTGCTTTATTACCAAACATCTACAGTCAAATCTTAGCCCTGCAGGAATCCCGGGTATCTAAATGTGCGTGATTACTTCCGTGAGATTAGCATGAAGCCTTACCTGGTCAATTCTCTATTAATTATAGATCTGCTACATTGATCAAAACACATAAAATTGCTTTGTGAAGAAAACATGCTAGAAAACAAGGTACCAACAGATTATAGCAGGGAATGCCAGGATTTGAGTTTACCCTCAAATGTCTTGCAAGCTTACTATACCAGCTTGCAAGGTATATACTCAATGAAAGACAATTTCTCTGTGCTGCATTCTATATAGAAAGACTATACCAAGGTGGAACCCAGAACTGCTCAGTAAGGGATGTCTGGGAACGCAAAGGTGAATTAACAGTTGTATATCCAGTTGCAGAAAGAAACTGCTCTTACCCTTCACCTAATACTTACTGTTGACTCCCACATCCTCAGCTACTCCAGAACCTCTCATTCTCAGGTATGTGAATCCCAGTATCAGAAAGAACAAGCATGCAGCAGTTAAGAGGAACATGGACAGGTAATGTGCACTGAAGCCTCCAGTGGTGGATACCTCCTCTCTTTTGAACTGCTGGAGAAGCTCCTCCTCGGGCTCTGAGAGATTCTTCTTGTAGGTGTTTTTCAGGTAGGTATGATTTGAACCCGTATGATTGGAGTGGTTGAGTCTAAGTGAGGAGGTGGCTCCACCCGGGGGAAGGCTATTAGTAGCTGAATAGATCCTGGATTCAACGTTATAGCTACCCGCAGCACCGCTGAGAACGTGATTATTGGTCGCTTTCCTAATGGTGCCTGGAGGGTCAGTGATTTTACTGCTGTCCACGTCCGTGAGCGGCGGTGGCAGCAACGACACCGTAGGGGATTTCTTAGGTAGGCCAACGCGGTACCTGAGGCTGGGAGGACTAGAGTCCAGATTTTCACATCCTCCTCCTCCTCGTCGCCGTCCTCGTCCTCCTCCTCCTCCTCCCCCC